TGTTAGGCATTTTGTAAAACAATTTTAGTTGTATTTAAAGAAAAAAGTATGAAATGGCAACCCTGAGTATTTTTAGGTATGCTTCAAATCAAATCACTTACAGAAATAAGATAATATTTGTAGTTTGCCACAATAAAATACGTGATCAAATCTATTTAAAGAAAATCCTCTTTTTCTTTAATTCAACTTTAGCAATTATCCATGGTCTACGATCAGATCAGTCTTATTTCTCTGTCCATTCACCTATACCTCCCGTCTTATTTTGCAGCAAATCCTAGACGTTGTATCATTTCATCTGTAACTATTTCATTATCTATTACCATCATCATCTTTTTTGATGAAGGAAAAGAATCAAGCACTTGTCCTACCTTTATTATAAATCAGTACCTCAGAACTTTTTTCTTAAATACAATAAAATGCCATTTTTCACAAAACAATACAAAACCCAAACAACAATTCTTTAATATCAATTCTTTAATATCAGATTCAGTGTTTATACATTTTCTTGATTGTCTTGTATGTTTTTGTTTTTTGTTCCTTTTGTCTGTTTGAATTGGAATCCAGATAAGATCCATACATCGTGATTATGTATCTTAAGTTCTTTTAATCTATAGATTTCCCCTCCTAGCTCTTTGTTTCCTTGCAATGTTTGTTAAGAAACCATGTGACACAGGATTATCCTGTAGAGCTTTTCACAGCCTGAATATTTATGATTGCATCTTCACGATTACTATGTGCCTCTATTCCATGTATTTCTGGTAAGTTGGTAGTTAGATCTCGAGGCCTGACCCATTTTGTTTTGGGCCATGTACTTCTCTCAGAAAGTACATAATGTCTTCTTGGGATGATCTCAAAATGGATGGTCATTGCCTAGATCCATGTTTCCTTGGAGGTTACGGAGTAATGTGCCTTCATCAGTCCTCTGTTTATTAACGGGAACACTCTGTAAAGAGAACAGCCCCCGCTTCAGCCCTTTGGTCACTCTGAGGTACTGATTTATAATAAAGGTAGGACAAGTGCTTGATTCTTTTCCTTCATCAGTTTTCAAAAATAATTAGTTTCATTCATTAGCATTCTCTAAAAGTAACTAATGATTTTTTTTCTTTTTAATATTATTATGAACTCATGGATATAAACACCTTTGTTTTGCTTCGATTCATTTCAGTTATTATTCTCACTGATGCTTAACTTACCCGTCTTTGGCTATCGGATGCTGCTTCAGGATGGTTCCTGTGTCCTTTTGACATGACCTTCACCTCGTATCTAGGGGATGAGTAGCCTCCGTGCCTTCCAGGACAACAAGTTATTTCAGGCTCACTTGTAC